TCATGCACCCTGCATCCTGCATTGCCAAGGACTATCCGATGAGCACGGATTTGTGATTGAATTATCCAATCACTGTACACGAGTGTTTTCATTGGATAAATATGAAATCGTAGGCAATCTCCCTACGAATTCCATAAATAAGTCAATCTCGCACTTGTTTGTGCTAGGAAACGCTTGGAATTGCCTCCTTCGACATCGCGAGTGTGAAGTACGATCCATTTGTCAACTCGTCGTTGGGCTGACCACCCAAGACCCCATGATGCAACGATTGAAAGCTTCGATGAAGCGCGTTGCCGTCTGAATAAACCTTTGGAAGACTATCTAATCAGTAGTGCAAGTGGTTCATAAAACGCGTACTTAAGCAAAATGAATAAAACCACGGCATTGCCTCAAATCAATTCATTGAAGTAGAGGCTGGACTAATGTTGGAAGCTGTTTTGTCCAAAATGTACTACTTAAGGAGATTAAGTTTGGTAACGCTGTTTAAACACATTGAAGTTAAACTAACCATAAAACTCTATCTTTGCCGCCATGTTCAAATATGAAACCCAATTCCCTCCATTAGGTCCTCTTCACTTCCTTGTCAGTCACTTCAGAATTCAATTCACCATTCACCTGCCATGCCGATCAACGCTAACGCTGTCCTAAACCGCCCCCAAGACCAGTCCATCCGGGATCGGTCCTACCTTGACGCTTCGTACGTTGAATACGGCTCAAACGATGAGGTCAACCTCGAAGAGGTCGCCGCCAACCCAATTATGCAACGCTTCACAACTGACTTGGGAACTGATGGCATTCGCACCTACCGTCTCGGAGATCGAGTCCTTGTGGTCCTTCGTGGACGATGCCATGAATAATGCATGGATGGAGGGTCGTGGCCGCCGTTGTGCCCCCAGCCCCAAGGACGCCCTGTTCATGGCACTCACGCTGCTATAGCATTACTCCACCTGGGAGAAACAGGCTGTGGACTTTGGGTTCAAGGCTCCAACATTCGAAAAGCTCATTATGCGTGTTCCTGCGGTCGATCAATGTGTGCCTAGGTCATCGAACCCGTTCTCGTAATCCAATTCATCACGCATTCATCCATGGCGGATTTGAGTTAGTCTGAGCGCCGCTTTGACAATTTCCCTTATGCCCTTTACCCTGTTGACGTGAAGTTCCAGCCTTCGCTGCAGCCGGCAGTCGCCGAGCGATGCCGCCTTGCCAGACCATGGCGAACCAATTAAGTGGATCGTGGGCCTGTCTTGTCGATATGGGGTATATTGGTATCCAGCATTCCTTGCGTGGCATCCATCCGAAGCGTCGGCCGGTAAATGGCTCCCTGGACGCCAGTGACCTGGAGCGTAATCACGCAATCTCGTCTGATCGCGTGATTGTGGAGAACTCCTTCGGCATGGTTTGCTCGCTGTGGAAGGTGTCTTACTCCACGTTTACGTGGTCTGAGAAGAACTACACGGCTATCCAACGAACGACGTTTGCTTAGACAAATTTCCATCTGTCCCTCATGCCATTGCGCCGTGAAGACGAGGCATTTTATGGCCTCGTCATGGCTCGCTACCAAAGGATGGCCAGCGAAAAGAAGCGGAAGAAGGCAGAAGCTCAATGACGCTACCGTATGAACCGTCAAGATCGAGCTGCAATGGACGCCTTCCGTATCATGCGTTTTCCATAGGTGTAGAAGTTTTGACTCGTGTATTTTGACATTAAAGTTGAATTTGTCGCACAGTTTGGTTGTTATCAGTGTCTCAGTTTATGATCAGTAACTCGATCTTTTACGAAGCAAATATGTTTCGACTGAAGCTCTTGGAACTGATCAAATAGATGGTGGTATTTTTTGCATGCTGCAAATACCAATTTACACACTATTTGACGATGTGACATGGTCCAATTGTAAATATTGCTGGTATACAGTAAAACAGCCACCAACTGGTTTTGAGACTTATTACTTACTTCAAGTAATCAGGACGAAGTGGTGGTGTAGATATGCATACTGTACAACACTACTGAATCATCAAACATGCATTCGTGGTCAGAGTTCATGTCGGCGATGGTTCATGGGAGAGGTGAACGCCTTACCGAAGTCGAGCGTATGTCCATAGTCGATGGACTTGCTGGTACGCACGCGTATACGGTCAGTGCGAGCCATACACTGTAGGCCGTTCATACGCCGTCGACGCGAAAGCTAATGCGTGTGGCCGACGGCGACTTCCAGAGTGTTGAGGCTCTATTTGGCGAGCTGCGGACGTTGAAGCACTCAATCAACTCCCTTGTGAGTGATGATCTCCTGATCCTCATGGTGTTGGGTGTGTTGCCATCTGAGTTCTTTGGCGCGCAAATCGTCCTGGACACGGTGCCGTTTCGGATTGTGGACGTTGAGGCCAAGTTGATTGGGATTTTCGGATCCAAATCAAAATGGGACATTATGGGTATCAGCGACGTCCAAAGTCGCTGGCCAATTACACCGCACCAACCAGTTGAAGTGAACAACGTGGCCAATGGGAAGCGAAGGTCCTCGAGCTACGTAACGGGTGGTACCGGCGAGTGTTTTTACTGCTTTGGGAAATCCAACTACCCTACCGGTGGTGCCAAGCACGTAAAGAAGGGGTGTCCTTTCCGCGTAAGGAGGACTTTGAGACTCGGGGCTTCCGCTCCAACATCAATGAGCCGTTTAAGCCGAAGGTTAAGCGCCACAAGGCGGAGGTGGCTGTCGATCTTGTCGAGCAGTTCGACCGCGACGCCGGTTACAAAATCGCGAATCCGGATGCTGGTCCGGATACCAATGTCCAACTACCGGAGGACAGTGAACCTGGTTTTGTTGACTTTGGTGGGTGGAATGCGGGTGACATGGATGTCAACCTAGTTGACACCGAACCCAGCCTTGAGCGCCACTCGAGTGAGGTTCATACGATCACGGCGAAGATCGATGACATGGTGAGGTGCAGTTATCCACATCTATTGACATAAAGGACTATGTCTAGTAGGGAATGGGCTCTTGACGGTGGCTGCGGCCATCACCTTACGTACGACTCAAGTAGTTTTAAGGCGACAAAGCCAGACACCAGTCTTGTCTTTAGGTTCAGTCAAGGTTCTAAACTAATGAATTCACACTTGGGTACAGTGAAGCTTTGGTTTGACACACCGAGTGGAATAACTGCATTCTCATTCGACAATGTCGCTTTAGTTCCTAATGTGAAGTCGAATATACTTAGTGAAAACGCTCTGAAGAAGGAGGGATATACTATATCTGAGAGTATGTGTGGCAACTATAAGTATGTGTTCAAGATGAATGTCCTGCAGTTTGTGAGGGTTGCTATTAATGAGGCATACTACGTCCGGAGTTTTTCGTTATCAGACAGACAGGTGAGATGTGGCAAAGTCAAATTGGCAAAGTGCAGTAGAACGGTGGGAGCTAAAGAGGCAACCCTTATCTTGCAGGAATGGCATGTCCGCTTAGGACATCTAGCTAAGGATGCTGTAGTAACAATACTAACTACGCGTATTGTACATGGTCTTTCCATCATAACAAAGAAGGATATCTTTAAGGACATTAAGTTGTTTTGTCACACATGTGGTACTATGAAAGATCGAAGGATGTCGTTTCGAAATAAGACCGGTTCTCGATCGACCGAGAATTTGCATACGTTGCACATGGACACATGTGGTCCAGTAAAACAAAATGGTATTTATGGCACTCAATCTAATATTAGGTAACGTTAACGTTATGGATGCATTATGATTGACGATCACTCGTCGTACCGATGGGCGTTTGTCTTTCAACAGAAAACAGATGTACCTAAATCAGTTAAAGAATACATTGCTCAAATTGAGCGTGAAGGCAAAGCTCTGGTAAAGCGTATTCGCTCAGACGGAGGAACAGAGTTTGATAATAAGAGTCTACTGACCTTCTACAAAGGTCTTGGGATTAAGTACCAGAAGTCAAATCCCTACTACAAGGAGGAGAATGGAAGCTCAGAGAGAGACTTCCAGACTAAGTTTAGCAAAATCAGATGTGCGCTTCTGGAATCCCAGATGCCTGCCAAATGGTGGCCTGAGGCCTTCCACTATATGAACTATGTCCAGAATAGAACACCAATGGCAAGACTAGGAAACAAGTCTCCGTATGAGGTTTTCTACGGAGTACCACCTGATGTAAGCAACCTATATGCATGGGGTAGTGTGTGCTACGCGCACGTCCCTGTAGAAGTAAGGGCTGACAAGAAGCTATCAGCCAGAGCAGTAAGGTGTAGATTACAGAGAACCCCGGGAAAAGCTGACCTACTTTCATTTCAAATATGTATGGAAAAGGTATTTAAATATCTTTATTAAATTTCAGACAAATGCAGCAGCTGATTGGATATAATTCCACACCAATCGAAACTTAGAGTTTCTAGCTTAGTTTTAGTATGCTTACACGCCATGGTCTGATATTTGAGATGTGTGAAATAAATCCGTGCTGCATTTCGCGTGAGGTGTAATCATTTCCTAAGCAGGAATGGACCGTTTGATCATCGCCATACGCTTTTCCGCCGCTGTCGTCACTGGCTTCTCCTTGAGCCACAATGTTCGTAGCAACTTCTTGAAGGGACCCATCACTCCAACATCCAGAGGCTGGCACACGCTCGTACAATTCGCTGGTAAGGGCTCCAACACACTAAAAATTTCACCTAAATAGTATCCAAACATGTCAAAACGTAGCAAAATATCACAACGAAATGTTTACCAGATATCATATCTGCGGATGCTTGGGTTACATAAGCATCGAAATTGTCGACCACAAAAACGCTCGGTCCAATGATGTGTGGCGGCATCACTTCAAGGTAAGCCTTCCAAACGCGGTTGTCCATCCAAGCGGATTCTTGGACGTCGTAGTAATGGCCTTCTGGGTACGTCGCCAATTCTTTCGTGTCCATCGGCCCGCTTGGGGTACCATGGACGATAAACAAAATCGGTAGCTTTCGCCTATGACAATCAAAGATAAGCAAGTAATCCAACGAGTATCATACCGTCCGCCCGGCAGGATAAAACTGCCGTGAGTCGGTCCGAATGCTTTTGCTTCTTGTCCACCTTGGACGAGCCACCCTTCTCGGGCCAGATCTTTCCAGGTGGCATTTCGTAGTTCACCATCGTTTCGTCCACGTTGATAATGTCACACATGTCGTACGCACTGTACTTGCACCAAAAACGAAGCGGCGCTGAGGGTCTTGCGTTTCGCGTTGATTGCAGTCTCCTTGATCTTCGTGCTGTTCCTGCGCCAGTCACGCCACGTAGTTCTTGGGATCCCCTCGATCTCGCAGAACCGTCGGATCTTCAACCCGAGCCGCTCGAAGGACGCGAGTAGCTTTCGCTTCTCACCAATGGAATATGACTTGTGACACCGTCTGGGCATGCTTGAAGCTGAAATGACACGTGTGGTGAAAAACGCCAATAAATTGGAAATTTGAATTTAAGTTCGGCCAATCAGAGAGCTTTAATGCTTTGAGTTCTGATTGGCTAAATTGAATGGCTTTATTAAGTAATACAGGTATTTGAATTTATTATAATCCATCATATTATAGAGGTGGGCGGCTTTTTAGGTGGGGTCGGCTTTTCCCGGGGTTCTCTGTACTTGGCATTTCCGACGAGTACAAAGGATACCGTCTGTGGCAAGAATCAAACAACCGCTTTCTTATCGCCCGAGATGTAAAGTTCGACTCAGAGTATATCAGTGAGGCAGTTCGTACCGCATTTATGAGCACAGTACGATCATTAGATGCTGATGAAATTAGTGAGGTGAATGACCTGAAGGCGTTACGTAGTCCTACCATGTCTCCCTCTCCACCGGGCTTAGGTGTTCAAAATGATGTGGTTGACAGTGACAGTGAAGCAACATCGGCAGAGATGCTGGAACCTGTGAGACATGATATTTCATCAGTACCAAAGGACCCAGATAGGAAACGAAAGGTTATTAATTCTGCGGTGCCGACATCTCGTTATCCGAAACGTATCCGGAAGAGTGTACAACCTGGGTTAAACTCGGGGTTTATCCAGGCTAAAGTATCTGTATTACCCAATCCGAGTACAGTGCGTTTGACGCTTTTGGAAGATGCAATGGCTCCCTCCACGTTCTCATCGTGTTGTAGGCCGCAAACCAGGCTACCTAGATGATTACGTGTGTGCGCAGGTAGATGCAACGACCTCTCACTCTACTTCTAGTACGAAGGAGGAAGCTCCCAGCTCGTACATTCACTGTCAGTATGCACAATAATGCGTCTGGACGATTAGTGGGAGATTCAGGCAGTATGAAACGATCTGTGGATCTAGTTACACCACGATCGTTGAAGGCGGCTCTACAGTCGACTGCGAAAGCGCAATGGGTGGCTGCACTCAATACAGAGTACAACTCCTTGATGGAGAACTCAACATGGAAATTGGTCCAATTACCTGTTGGTAGAAAGGCGCTCCCATGTCACTGGGTATTTAACATTAAATATCATAGCAATGGGACAATTGAACGATATAAGGCTCGACTTGTAGCTCAAGGTTGCCACCAAGTATTTGGTGTCGACTGTGATGAAGTATATGCTCCTGTTGCGAGATTTGAGTCGCTACGACTTGTACTTAGTATTGGTGTTACCTTAGACTGGCATATCCATCAAATGGATGTGCATACAGCCTTCCTCAATGGGCACATGCCTGAGGGCATGACAACGTATATGCGACAGCCCCCTGGGTATGTCATTCAAGGGAAGGAAAACCTTGTGTGTGAGCTACTAAAAAGTATATATGGCCTGAAGCAGGCGCCACGAATTTGGTACCTGATGCTCCATGAATTTTTGACAAACATCGGTTTTAGTCGGTGTTATAAGGAGTACTGCTTGTATGTCAAAAAGGTGGGAGATGAAACGGTAGTTATAGTTGTCTATGTTGACGACTTAACTATCATGGCTAAGAGTCTTGACAACGTGAAGGTTGTGAAGGATGATCTAAGCAAGCGATTCAAGATGAAAGACCTTGGTGAGATTAGTTACATCCTGAAAATGGAGGTTACAAGAGACAGGACCAATAAGCAAATGACAATTTCCCAAAAAAAGTACATCAAGGATCTGCTAAGGAAATTTAATATGGAAAATTGTAAGGTTGCCTCGACACCCCAAGTAGTGGGAGTTGACCTTCAACCCGAAAGGAAGCTGAATGCTGAACAGATTGCAGCGCAACCGTACGATTTTAGAGGAATTGTAGGCTCGTTACAGTATCTAGTTCGTGGTACGCGACCTGATATTGCAAATGCTGTACGAGAACTTAGCAGATTTCTATCGTGCTACAATAAGTCTCATTGGGAAGCAGCCCTTAGAGTACTTCGATACTTGAAAGGAACGTTAACGTACGGACTTCTACTCGACGGTAGTCAACATGGACTAGAGTATGAGGTCTATTCTGACGCGAGCTTCGCGAATCGAGAAAAAGATCGAACGAGTATCACTGGATATTTGGTATTATTAGCTGGAACATGCATTTCGTGGTGCAGTTGCAAACAGAATTGTGTTGCGCTGTCTACTGCAGAATCAGAGCTAATTGCTCTTAATGAGGGATCCAAGGAAAGTGAATGGCTTTGGCATCTTTTAGCCGAGATGGGGTTTAAATTAAAGGCACCAATACAGGTTTGGTGCGACAGTAAATCAGCTATTAGTGTTGTCCAGAATCCTGGCAATCACAAAGCTACAAAGCACATTGAAACGAGGTATTTGTACACAAGGGATTTAGTGGACAAAAAACGTATCAAAATTAAGTACTGCAATACGAAAGAAATGCTAGCAGACCTACTGACAAAGGCATTACCGGTGGGGCAATTTGAGTTACTAAGGGAAAGGATGGGCATACACGACTTGAGTTTATTGGTATCGCAGAACACTGAGTGGGAGTGTTAGACATGAGCTATCAGGATACAAAACTTGTTCCCCTGGCAAGTGTCAGAATATATCACGCATGCGAAGTGTCTCCATATGTAGCTCGAAGTCAAGAGGCTCTACCACTTGCACGATCAAACTGTAAAGGGAATGTATGGTGGTAG